CCTGGGTACGCAAAGGACGAACTACTGTAATACATAGAGAGAGAAGAACAAAACTAAGCAACATGTGACAGAGAGACAGAGAGAGACACACACACACAGACAGAGACACTGACAGACGTCAGGGAAACATTATCAACTTTGACTATCCCTGCACTTCCTTCTGCGATGTTGACGCGTGTAGTCTGTCATGTGTCATACCTGCTCCAGTAATAAAGACGAAGAGACAGCCAGTTAAAATGTAGTGAAGTTCATGGGAGCTAGCTTACTGTTATCTCTGTATCTTCCCTTCCCTTGTATCATAGCTGCTGTAACTCTTCTGTTTGTGTTCTCGTTTCGTAGGTAAAGGAGAGGCCATTGAGACGACTTTAGCAGCTCTGCAGGTTGTGCCCGAGCCTTTCCGCAGCTTTGCCAACACACTAGTGGACATCTGTGCATATGCAGGTCAGTCTCATCCTACTGTTGTTTGTACACGTGCAGATATCCATCGCTCAATCTCTGCAGTTCTTCACTTCTGTATAATCATTTTCCATCTCCATCTCAGGTTCTGGTAATGTGCTGAAGGTGCAGCAGCTTCTCCACATCTGCAGCGAACACTACGAAGCCAAGGAGAAGGAAAAAGAGGAGGAGAAGGACAAGAAGGATAAGAAGGACAAAGATAAGAAGGAGACTGCTGCTGACATGGGCTCCCACCAGGTACCAGGATTACCTCAAACATCAGTGTTTCTTCTCCATTTAGTCGTTCCTTTTATCAGCTACGTTATGGATGCTTTCATGTTTTCCCTCTCAGGGTGTTGCTGTTCTTGGTATTGCCCTGATTGCCATGGGGGAGGAGATCGGTTCAGAGATGGCACTGCGGACATTTGGACATCTGGTCAGTAGCACTGCTCACTGTCAGCTTTCTATTCTGGTGTGTTCTTTAACCTTTACTGCAGGGCTGCAGGAAGAGGTCACAAAGATGTGAACGCCTGAGAGGGTTCAGGTGGCATGCCCCCCCCCCCCCCCGAGAGTTTAATAAATAATATCTGCTTTAAGATGTGCATTTAAAGTTGATTTCAGCATGAGGATAAAGTAAAAACCAGCATATTATAATTTATGTAATCTTACTGTTACAAACATAATGAAGTGGGGGGGGGGGCAAGAGTTTGGGGTACTTCTTGCTCGGGGTACTTCTTGCTCAGGGTACTTCCTGTACTAGAAGGCCAACAGGGGCACCACACAGACCTCTCTCTCACAAATCACACAAAGGACCTATTTTGGATTCAAAATGCCAATTTTTTGCCGAAAGGTGACAAGTTTGGACCCCTGTACTGAATAAGTTATTATTCCGCCATCTCACCACCTTTCATTTCATATTCTTTTGATCTCTCTGTTCTCTGAGTCTGTTTAAAAAAAAAAGAGACCTTATTGTCTGGCTGTCTTGACTTGGCCGTGTCCCTTTCCCCCCCCATTCTTTTGATCCACATTACGTCATCTGTACTTTAGTGAGTGTGAAGAAGGGAATCCAAATAGACCCAAATGTTTTTGTTCCTCTCTTGGTCTTAAACTCTTCTTACTCCCCCTCTGTGTTCCCGTTCCTCAGCTGCGGTACGGTGAGCCCACCCTGAGGCGAGCGGTGCCCCTCGCCCTAGCCCTCATCTCCGTGTCCAACCCTCGTCTGAACATCCTGGACACCCTCAGCAAGTTCTCCCACGACGCTGACCCAGAGGTGTCCCACAACTCCATCTTTGCCATGGGCATGGTGGGCAGCGGTAAGTCGGGTTACAGAGAACAACATTAACTGTGTGTTCACAGCTGCAACAATACTAAAACCCTGTAGGTGGAGGTGGAGTTTTTTATTTTGTGAGTAAGCCGTTATTTAAAAACTTTATTCAAAAGAAAGAAGTTGACAAACAAGATGTTTTGAGTACAAACAATAAGATTGAAATAAATTATAATTTTCGATGACACACACCGCTCCCTCTCCTCAGTGCCTCTCGTGTTCACTCCCTCAACATATTCAACAGTCTCCTCATCTTTTCCATTTTCTCAGGCACAAATAACGCCCGTCTGGCCGCCATGCTGCGTCAGCTGGCCCAGTACCACGCCAAAGACCCCAACAATCTCTTCATGGTCCGACTGGCTCAGGTGGGTGGAGACACAAGAACAGGGCGCTCTGTGCCGGACACGAGTGCTCTTTTCGGAAATGTTTGTAGCGAGTGGCTCTTGACTGTTGCCGTTTGTGCCTCCACAGGGTCTGACTCACCTGGGCAAAGGCACACTGACACTCTGTCCCTACCACGGCGACAGGCAGCTCATGAGTCAGGTGGCCGTAGCCGGACTGCTCACCGTGCTCGTTTCCTTCCTCGACGTCAAGAACAGTTAGTTCAATTTCCTCCTGCTGCCTCATCACACACTTAACGTTGTCCTCTTTGTGTTTTTATAATTCAAAAGGTTGTATTCCATCAGTGTTTAACATTCCCCCCCCCCTTGTGTTCACTCTGTGCATTGCAGTCATCCTGGGGAAGTCTCACTACATTCTCTACGGGCTGGTAGCAGCCATGCAGCCTCGTATGCTGGTCACCTTTGACGAGGAGCTGCGACCGCTGCCGGTGTCGGTCAGAGTCGGACAGGTGAAGCCCGGGAACATTAGTCCCACCGGAATATTTGTAGAAATTCTGCTTTCCAAACTTCTTAGTTTGACATTTTGGGGACATTTGCTTCCTTGCTGAGAATGAGACGAGAGGATCGATGCCGCTCTCATGTCTGACCGTTAAATACGTCGCTGGAGCCAATTGGAGAACATTCTCCTGCTTCATATTTAACAGACAAATGCGAGAATGGTATCAAGTCTCTTTTCATCATTCATCCAGAATAAATGTGGAGGAATGACAACAAAATGCAACAAAAATTCAAGTGGAAATGTCTGTTTAACATGAGTGTGTGTGTGTGTATGATTTTGTTTACAGGCCGTGGATGTCGTCGGCCAGGCGGGCAAGCCAAAGGCCATCACAGGTTTCCAGACCCACACCACGCCGGTGTTGCTGGCCCACGGAGAAAGGGCGGAGCTGGCCACAGAGGAGTACCTCCCCGTCACCCCCATCCTGGAGGGCTTTATTATCCTGCGCAAGAACCCCAACTATGAAACCTAGACTGAATCATTCTCACTGTCCTCGCCCTCTGTGTGCGTGTGTGTGTGTGGAAGGGTAGCCCTCCATGGCTCTTGGCAGTTATGTTTAGTAGTGTACCGCATGGCTGAAAAGAGCGAGGCAGGCCTATCCTTCTTCCTCGCTGTGTCTTCTCTCTGCTGTCTGTAGCCCAGCTCCAGCAGTCATGTTTGGGGGGGTCTGGTTAATTGGACTGGGAGGACACAGGGAGGCTAAAACTGGGACCGTATCCACTCTACATAGATGGTTTCCTCATTGCTCTAATTTTGATCCACCTCTCCCACATGCACTGAACCAGCTGTCGGACTGGTCACTGGTTCAGTAACTGAATAACAACGGCTCAGTCCACGTCATCTTTTGTAATGAGTATTCAAAAGTATGTTTTCATCCTCATCACCTTTTTGCTTCTGTTTTTATTTGTATTTTTTTTTTTCTTTCATTTTTGTTACAGTACTGTAAAAGGTTGAATCAAAAATAAAAACTCAGACCCGCGTGGTGGAAATGTGATTGCTGTGTGTTGTGTTGATTTAGGTGCAAAATATTTTTTATTATGATTTACTCAAACTCACGAGTGCTGTCACTCAAAATAAGCAGGCGGCAAGTTCTCTATAAGGAGGAGCGGTTTAGACATGAGGGAAATAAGTCTTCTACACACATGTAAATATTCTCTACATGCACATAAATAAAACACCCAAGTACATATTTATAGAGAAAAGCAATGTGTGACATTTGTTTACCTTGTCTGCTGCATATCTATTGGCTGAAATAAGTTAATAAAATGTTTATAAACATAAGTAATAAATAGTAACTACTAACTTCCAGTTGAAGTACTCAAGCAACACTGCAATTATTCTTTGTGTTTTTTTAAATAAACATTTGTTTCATTTATAAACTTCTATGGAGCACTTTTAGTCTCTGGATGAGCCTGCTTTCAGGTTTACAATATAAATTACACCGTGTATCCTTGGTCTATCATGTCACTGAGTTCAGTTTACCCTGAGAGACTTAATTCTTTTAAATTTTAAATAGGTTTTTAGCCTGAGGCCAGATTTATCTTCTGACAATTTTAAAAATGTAGGTTCTTTATTATAATTATACATATAATATATATTTATATATATATATAATTTAACAATTATTCTAATACAAGATGCATTAAGGTATAGATGGGGGGCTAAGATAAACTAAGGTACAATAAAACATTCCTTATTTTTATCTGTAGGAAAAAATGCAAAATAGGCTTTAAAAAAATTAATTTTAAATGTCGTTATAGTAACATTAAAATATTAAAAGCTTGTCGTTCACACGCAAACACAATACAGATAACCCCTATGCTGAAATACGAAAAATATATTAACTATAAATAAATAAATATTCAGTTTACCCTGAAAGACTTAATTATTTTTTAAATATTTTTTTAAATAAAGTTTTAGCCTGAGGCCAGATTTATCTTCTGACCATTTATTTTAATGTACTTTATTGTATATAATATATTTATATATAATATTATATATATAATTTTAATTAATTTTAATACAAGATGCATTAAGGTATAGATGGGGGCTAATTCAAACTAAAGTACAATTAAATATTCCTTATTTTTATCTGTATGAAAAAATGCGAACTTGGCTTTAAAAAAAATACATTTTAAATGTATTTATGATAACATTAAAATATTAAAACACGATAAAGATAAACCCCATTTTAAGATGCGAAAAATACAGTATTTACAGCCCGAATTTACACGGAAAATTTCACGTGATGGGATTTTTCACCGGAAGTACCTAGCTACCGGCTTCCGAGAAGATTCTCCGTCCGTCCGGCTCTGCGGACTCAAGGAGAGAAAGGTAACGCCACGGTCCTGAGCCAAATTCTTCATTAAGATGCTCAAAAATATCACATATATGTCAAGTCGCTGTTTGAGAGAGACTCTGGAAGGACAGTCGTGTCTATATTTGGGCTTTTTAGTCAAGAGATATATCTAAGATATTTCTTCTTCGCTGGTTTTCTGCTGTTCCTTGCTCTGTTTTCAGGGATTAGCTGGCTAGCATGGCTAGCTAGCATTCCATGCTAACGCGACGTGGGTGTTCTTTCTTCACTTTAGCTAGCTCCGGCTAGCAAGCTAACACGCTACGATAGACACCCAAGTTTAGAAATATACACATATTGTGTGTGATTTATTTTATTTGATGGTTGACACGTTGACTGTCGCGTCACAATGTTGTTGTTTTCTTCGGTTTACGTGATTTGTTTAATGCTAGCTGGACAAACTAACCCAATAACCGCTTGCTAGCTATCTCCCACGGTAGGCTATAGATAGCAGTAGGTTAAAGCATGCTAGTTATGTCGAAGCTGTGTTTGTGCACCTCTCAGCAGAAGGTGATGGAGTTTGTGTATTTGCTCGTCTGGTTGTAAAATAAAAAACATGCATGTTGACAGTTGTTGATTGCAAATATGATTCCGGATTTATTGATATCTTCAAACATGCCATTGTGGTTTGAAATCGTTTATGTTAGGCGGTAAAGTATTAACGGTGGTTAAAAGATCTGGTTGTGATCCAGTCTGCCAGTTGGTGCAGAAGCAAGGTTTTCCTCTGTTTAATGAGCCAGACAGTCAACACATTATGTGATAGTATATCATATTGTCAGATGAATCTAGCATGCATGAAGGAATTATGATTTTAAAACCTTGATAAATGTGTGATTTACCTATGTTGCTCATGCATCATTTAAACGTAGAGCTGCCCAGGTGGGTGGTGTTGCTGTTTAAACTGGGCGAGGTGTTGGGCTGCGAAATTCTGACTCATTCTGGCTCGTTTACGGTAACGTTGGGTTACTCATTGTCACGACACAGTTGACAGCACTGCTGCTGTGTGTGTATCACCTAGCTAGGTGAAGCTATGAAGCATAGGTACTGTGCATGTGAGTAGCATTTTGAGCTATTGCACACGAATGCACGAGCTAATAACCGGTAACTTTAGCTTAATTTAGGTCAACATTCCCATTGATTGATTCACGATTCGACCTCTTGTCGTTACTGTCTTCCCTCAACGCCATTTGTGTAGTATGGTGTATAATAAGCACAGTAGGGTGGTTGTCATTAGACATGTATCGGCTGAGGCGTGGCTGGCATGAAGCCGGGTAGTCGTCGCGCCAATAGGAGGAGAAACCACGTGGTGGAATCCAGATTGGGCCTATAGGAAAGTTAGCAACATGGCTAACTGCACAACACACAGCAGCACCAGCACGTCTTCGCAAACCGTGTCGGTATGTGTTTGGTGTGACCGAGCGCTTGATATATGTGTGTTTAATACAATCCAATGCTGATATGTCGTGTGTGTGTGTGTGTGTGTGTGTGTGTGTGTGTGTGTGTGGACACAGCAGACACGCCCCTGTGCCATTGCAAATGTGTCCCACAGTTTGATCAGACACACTAACGTTTTATCAATGGGTATGAGCGTTGACATTCTATGATATATTGCTGGTTTGTTCATGTTTAAAGCTGGTTTTCTACAGCAGGGTGACGTTAAGGGCTGCAGACATGTGACCTTAGCTTGAGAGTGTGGGTCCAAAATGGATGCAGTTTGCTATGCTAGTCTAGGCTGATGATGATGATGTTGTTGGTTTTTACCTAACCCTGCAAACAATAATCTTTGAGAACCATTCATCAGCTCAGGAGAATATTATGTAGTTGTGTGGCGCTAAACATCCACGTTTCCTGATGAGTGCTCGTCACTTACACTTAATGGTTGATAATGTGAAAACAGTGGTGTCTTCACAGATGTCTTCTGTGTCTCTGTAGTCTATGAACAAAAGGACTGTGATTATGTCGTCGGGACTATCTCGGATTGTGGTTGAGATTTAAAATTCAGAGCCTGCAGGCCAGTAAACTGCATATAACAGAGGAGTTAACACAAGTCACATTGAGATTTTAGCAAAAGCTGAGGAATCGGTGTGTGAATGTGCATTATAAGTAGTCCTTATAAGTATCCATGTGCTATGTGTATTATGGCATTTGCAAAGTATCGTGACATCTGCAGCAGACCATGTAGATAAAGCCAGTGACTCATGTTTTTTTTTTTTTTGTTTTTTTTTAACTGACTTCCCCAGACAGTAAATGTTGCTTAATTCTCAGCGTAGATGGTGTTTGGGGAAAAAGTCCATGCTCAGTAAGCAGTTGAATTTCTTCTGGAACGTGAGCTAGATTAGGCTTTGGTTGGGGGTATAGTTGGGGATAGAGGAGGACCAGATTTGCCATTAAGACTGGGGCTAAAGGAAGGCTTAGTTTGGTCTCAAGATAAGCTGAGAGGAGGTCTAGATTTTGTGTGGAGACTGGGGCTAGAGGAAGGCTAGGTTTGGCCCAGTCAGAACTGGGGCTGAAGAGGAGGAGGAGGAGGAGGAGGAAGTTCGTCCAGAACTGCAACAGTTGAATAACAAGAACCGGATACGGCGCTACCACTTAGCCTCTCTTCTATTACCTGGTTGTCCCTTGTGGTATTGCAGTGAAAAATCCCCCCGCAAAAAGCATTTTCCCCAACATGGTAAAAGAGACGTCTGTAAAACTATTGACAGGACTCGACCTGCAAACAAGGTCTGGTATGAATTTTTGCTCCATGGAGGTTTTATACTTCCTTGAACCAAGTAAAAGTATTTAAAAATCTTTGTCATTAAAATGTCGTGTCTATGAGTCCATCAGGAACTCGTGGGTGGGGCCAGTGGGAGAAACCCCACTGCGCATATTAATTTGATTCTCATACGTTTGAAGTAAACCCGGAAGCTTGAAACCTGTTTTTCCTACATGCAACTAACTCTCATTGGACTGAATAGGAGCCATCTTGGGGGTATCCAGTTCTTAAAATACATCCATATGTATTCACCCTCTGTAGGTGACGTGACCACCAACTTCTTTTGCAAATATTCCTGCATGCACTCAGCGGGAGTGCATGCAGGGTTACGCAACAGTTGAAGCCACATGTTTCACTAGCAGTGGAGCTGGTAGCTGGATCTCAGACCAGCTCAGATGACTAAACTGTGTGTGAATTGGGGGGGGTGTGTGTAAGGTTGTGTGTGCCTAGCTCGCACAACTCTCCTAAAATACAGATTCTTGCAAAAAGAAAAAGTGGGCTCTCTGGCTTTTTACTAGTTACACTATGTAGCGCTTCAAACTGTTCCCAGGGTTTGTACTGATGTCTAATTTTCGTTAATTCTGCAGACTACAGTAATGAGTGCGGTGTTGACGCTGGGCGTCACTGGCCCAGTAGTTGTTTAATTAAGAAGCCAGCCACGTCTCACTACTCCAGGGTAAAGCATCCCACAGCATATAACACGATGTATGCAGAGAATACAAATAGCCTGGGATTTTCATCTGGCTGTATGAGTTAGAATCCATTATCTTTTACCAGCCGCCACAGTGACAGCTGGTATTTGTTTTCACCTTTTTGAGTCTGTGTGTGTGAGTCATCGAGGCAAAAATGTTGTCCTGGAGACACCTGCTGCAGCGGGAACTTCCACAGAGGGTATTTTTTAGTACATAGCCAGGTGTGTCTCTCTCTGTGGACGGATGCTTTCACCGTGATGGTGTCGCAGCTGTGCAAGACACTTCACAGGTGTGTGGTTGAGATCGTGAAACGGAGGAGGAGTTCGGAGACGTAGGTGCACTCTTACAGGCCCTGGGTCGATTTAGCGTCCCGGTTGGTGGGACAGTATTTTCCGTAGTCTTTGTGTGTTCATGGTTACAGCGTGATTTCCTCCTCGTGAGGAAAGAAAAATCACCCAGACTCATCATGACTCAGGCTTTTTACACTGCTGCGTGTGTGTGTGTGTGGGAGAGAGATAATGTTGGTCTGCGCTATAAATACCAAATGTGTCGCTATTACAAGGACCGTATAACGGAAGGAGGATGACTACACTGGAGTCATGAAGTGATCCGTGGGTCAGTGGGGTGACACTGTCTTCCTAGTTCTAGTCATTCTGACAAACACTGCAGCTCAGAGGGTTTGTTCCTTGAGTTGATCTAATACATTAGAATTGTATTATTGCAAGTTGTGTCCTGATTAAATTAACTGTATATCGGTTGGACACACCAATAAACGGTTACTTATTCACTGCTATTATAAACGTATAACAGTTTATAAACCTGCTACAAACCTAGAATATAATCTTGGTGTATGAACGTCTCCTCTTTGGGTAACTCGTGTGTAGTTTCAGCCTCATGTAACTTTACTTATTGAGGTAAATCAGTTTCACTCAGATTTTAAACTCTTAAATGAAAGAGCACAGATTAGTACTGATACAATTACTATACCCTAACTTTGAGAACACAACTCCTGAATTATAAAACACTGATATTCTGTGTTCGCAGTAGGGACAAGGAGTATTTTGTACGACTGTAGTACCAAAATGGTGCTGGATAATGCAGGCCTGACGCATTTTAACGGGACGTTATATGTCATGGAACCGTTTTAAGGTTTTGGACATGATTGTAACTGGATTAAATGAGAAAGCTTTGATTTATGCAGTGCTGAAGATCATTTAAGTGGGCGACATTCTGACATAAATGCATATTTTTGACTTTATTTTCCTTTATTTTATTTTATATTTCCTTTTTTGGTGTATTTTTCAGTTCCCTTAACTCGATGTCTCTTTACCACAAAGTTAAACACTCGACTTCCTCCACCAGATATCCAACAGTTAGTTTTGATGCTGAGACGGTTCTTTTTCCAGCTGGTAAACAAAACTCGGTTCACTTTGGCCTCCGGGTGCTTGTGTTTAATGCACACTTTTTGCTGAGCTATAAGCACAAAACGTTAGCGAGTGGAGGTAATGTCAAGTGTTCTCTGAAGGGGCAAAAAAAAACCCCATCTGATTATCGGTTATTTGTTTTTCTCTCAACCGTAGTTAATTTTGCAGCGTTTTGGTCCAAAGAACTACCAACAAATACCTCTAGATGTTTTAATTATATTACGTTAACGATGAAAAATCAGGATTGGAAGCTTGTGTGTTGGAAAACTAAGTCATCGGGTGAACTAGACCCTCTGAGGGCTGATGTAATGTGAGCTGCAGGTGTAACTGACCCACCTGCTGTAGGAACATGGGGCTCGTTATTAACACCGACCTGGATTAATCTTGTACAAATGGACTGAACAAGTCTCACTGTTTGTAATGCTCCAGTTATGAAAAACCTAAACGTTTGGACCGTTTCACACTGTAATGATTTTGACGGATTGAACTGCGACATTTCAATCTCATCGACTATCTGTCTTCTCGAGGTTGTACCAGCCGTTAACCCTCTGAACATTAGGTGGTTTAGCTGCCGTTATATTTCACCCTCTGTGGCCTCGTTTTTTCACTCCAGAAGCTCAGAATTTAATGTTTTTACAAAATCTATTTAGTGTAAACGGATTATTTGGGACAAAATTTAAAGTGAGACGTGTAGAATGTGTTTGATGAAATATCACAATTTTCAGCTTCGGTCTGGCTGCTGTTTTATCAATGGAGGTCTCATTGCTCGTGATGTGTTCAAGAACCGTCGGAAACTTGAAATCTAACTATAGTCCGTTTTTTCCAGCGGCTGGCTACGATTAATGGTGTAATTTTGGCAGTTTGTTTCAAGAATACATGCTTTTTAATCCTCCATCTTTTTGGTTCATGGTGACTTTTATTAAATTAGGTTGTTATAGATGCTGTATAGTATTAGCCAGTACATGCTAACAAGGCTTCTCTTTCTGTCTGTCTCTTAGGAAACTACGTTCCTCAGTGTAACCACACTAAGGACCTTCACAAGGATTCATTAATGTAAGTACGCCACGTTCCACTCCTTCCTTTCAGCATCACTACTGTGGTATTAAATGTGACGATTCACCTTAATTGCAGCTTTTCTTAATTTATAATAAAGATCCGTTCTCTCCTCCGTCAGATTTGTACACAGGTCCACATCCGCCTCCCCATGCAGAACTCCATGAAATGAATAAAGCACCACAGCCTCTAACAGGACCCCCCTCCAACCCCCACCCTGCCCCCTCCCCCGGCCTGTCACAGGTGAGCAATAACAAACTGTTGTTGTTTTAATAACGGAGTCTGGCAATGATAGGCTTCTTGTAAGGAGGTGTGGAGCTCTTCATCTAGCAGATCACTGCCGCTCCGTCTCGCTGCAATATTTCAAACGTCAAGCTCACAGACAAACTACTTCATGATAAAAGTCAACTTGTGTTTCCTTTGACTACGAGTTAAAAGCTTTTATTGTGAAGCTGCAGCAGTTTGGTTTGCACACAGCCTTGTCTTGTAAATGTCGCCAGACATCCAGGATCTCAAATACTGTATTAGAAGTCTTTAGAGCGAGCCATAGGCTCTATCACCATTGTTACACCTCATTCAGAGATAGTGACTTAACAGAATCTTTCCATCTTGCCACTTAAACATCCTGTATTGACTCTTTTAAGACAAAGAAAAAGGTGCTGTTAAGACAATGTACCTCATCCCTGCCTTCTCACTCTCTACTCCTCTTGTCGGCATGCTTTTTTTTACTGCTGTTGACATCACTTCCTGTCTCTTGCAGCCCTCATTCCCCCCCGGGCAGCCCCCTTCTGTTGTGTTTGCCACCCCACCGCCTCCACAAATGAACCCGGCACCGCAGCCTCGACAGGTAGGCCCGACCCACAGGCCCACACGGGTGGATTTTTGCTCCATTTCAGAACAAGTTAAGTTCAGATATTAAAGCAGAATACGGAGCTGCAGGCTTTTCTGGCGAAGGTTATAAATGGATCATTTGTTTTGTCAAACGTTGGGAAGATGTGCGTCCTCTCTTTCCCGTATTGTAGAAACACAGTGTACAGTCTCCTGAATCCATCTGTGCATTACTTAGACTGCCTACATGTCTGTTGGCTTTACGCTCACCAGTTGTGCACCATTGTTAACCGTCGGTGTCAGCCTGTCCTTGGTGCTCTACCTCACACAGTACGGCTGCTTAGTGTGCACCGTGCTCACACTGACCTTCTCTACCCCATTTAAACTACTCTATTCCTTTACGCCCCTGACTGACTGGAGGAAGGGGAAGCAGTTTGTTATTTATATTTATTTATCATTTCCCTTGGAGTCTACTGTCATGTTAACTATGTGATTGTTTTTGTGTGCGTTTTAACATTTCTTAAAATAACATCGCTATATTGTAAATAAATTAGTAGGTAAAAGCAATCGAACACTAATGGAGAAAAGCAGTTGCTTAAGTGTGCACGGCTGTCAGTTTTAGAAAGCTGAAACTCCTCTTCAGCAGTCGGATGGCAGCTTTCCACTGTTTGAACAGAAGTTTATATATTCGCCTTAAAAGGGATCGTTTGGCTGTGAGGTTGTATGACGTATTCATCCACAGTCTGTGTTTTACCGACAGTAGATGGAGTTTGGAGAAACATACAATCTACTGCTTTGGACGAAGGCAGCATTTTAGCCACCTTCAAATAATCAGTTTTAGGGTCAATAGTTTGAATATTTTTACTGTGCTGTCAGAGATCTCTTTCTGAGGGTAAACCAAAGCCGTTATATCCAGCTGTGCTCTTCTAAGGAGCCACCAGTCTCCTTTGACAAAAATATAAATTTTACCTGGCAGACACAGGGGTTTCTGCTCTATCGAGGCCGTGATCGGTTAGCTTGTTTGTGTTATTGTGTGTACTTTGGTGAATCTGAACTACACTTTAACTCACCAAAGTCACACAAACAAACTAACCGATGGAGGTAGAGGTAGACCGCTAACTTCAGTTTTCTACGAGGTAAAATGACTGTTTTTGTCAACTGAATCTTGTGGTTTTGAAGAGAGCATAGATGGTTAAAACTGCTTCACTTCCCCTCCGGTAAAAGGCTATCTTGACGGCAAAGCAGTGAAAACATCTACTGTAGGTCACACACCTACTATGGATCTCATACAACCCGAACTATCCCTTTAAGGGCCGTTTAAAAAGTGCAGAAGTGGAAGAAGTGAAGCATGGATGGTGCTTTTTGTCTTCTAACCTCTGTCCTGTCTGCCTCTCCTCCTCTAGTTTGCCCCAGGGCCCCGACCTATACACCAACAGGTACTAACAGCAGTTCCTATCCTGTAACGTATGTCAGAGGCAGTAGAGATGATTGAGAGGCTCCACGGTGTGCTTCCACTACTAAAAAGATGACACTGATGTGAGCTTTAGACGTGAAACTCACCAGAGTAGTTTCCCTAAAGTCTTCATGAGGGAAATGATTTATTTTATGATGCCAAACATTGTGATAAACCCAGAGGATATGATATGAATGTATTTAAGTATTTTTTAACAATGTTATGAAAAACATCTCCCAGTTCTTTTCCTCTAGTCTCAGTCTGCATGTTGTTAAAGAGCAGCGAGCCTAGTTTATGTTGGATTCACTGCTCTACCTATTCTCTGCATGCTGCTTGTGAATTCACGGCTTGGCTCAGGATGGACAGTTTCTGGGTGCTTTGCTCTAACTGATTGTGGTGCTCTCTCCCCCCCCCCCCCC